AATACTAGCCATATATCGGCAAGGCGGGCATTAAGTCGAGAGCTTTTTATGTCATAATTTAATTTATTTTAAGAAAAATTATATTGTGCGTTTAGCCCTGATTTTTCTTTTCTTTTGTGGCTATTATTGTTTGTTTCACTTATTAAATTTATGCATGTTGTACATTTAAATTAGACTCCATTTTTGTTGCTCGTATTTGTGCTATGTCCTTTAAACAACGAAATAGATTATGTTACTGTATTTCTATTAGCGAGAACCTGTTATTGGCTTTTTGTAAATTTAACATGTTATTTACTTAAGATTTGTAAGCTGTTGGTTTCCCATAACATAAATAAATATTTTTGTGTAAAAAGTGGAAGAAAAAAGATATACTCAAGAAATACCTATTATGGGTAGATGTTATTGCTCCTTTGTATGTGAATATTATATGTATTAATAAGTGCATAGTATAGCTACTTAATCTGTCTAGCCAGATACTTAAGGTGGCATGAAGTCCTTAGATTTATTTCATAGTGAAATGAAATGTTACAGTGGTATTGTAATCAAACTCTTACACATTATTATTTATGTTGCCTTAACCTAATTAGTGCTTGTTAGAAGAGAGATGTGAAAGCTTGACCAGCTGTGGGACAATTCAGATTATTAAATAAAAGGGAAACAAGTTAAAATGGTAAAAGCAATATCAATATAAAATAATAACTAAATAATAGGGATGTCATTTCGAACAGAGTATACAATCGCTACGTTTACTGGCGAATAACATTCTGTTATTGGAAGAAGACTTATTTTTTAATAAATTATAATAATTCTTTCTTTTGACTTCTGTATTCTCCCCAATAATTAGCCCCCAATAACTTTTATATAAACATTGTATAAATTTATAATTATAATTAACTCAAACTTGCATAAACACGATGCTTCGTTAATTTTAAAACACATGGGTCCATTTTTGCCTTTGTCCTTTGGGATTGTTTTTTGAGGCAGCCCACTTCCACTAACTTTTGTTTTGGTACTTAGAGCATTTTTTTATTTCTGGTGTTCACGCTAAGCAAAATTACAGCGCTTTAGACTACCAATAGTCTCTACGCTAAGCCTCTTCCTCGTAGTTTTACTACGGAAATCTAAAAATACTTGTTGTGCTGACCAAACTAAACAATTCAGTTGATTTTAATTGTTCGAGTGCGTTTTGCTTATGCTTGTTTTTTTTTCGCTTAGGGAGACTATCGATATAAAATATCGATATGGTAGCATCGTAATTAATTCGTCTGTCTTACACTCATAACTTTTTCTATGTTGATGTATTTAACTTATAAGTTGCGTGAAATGTAACAGTGTTGGAGATTTAGATTTGTGTGTGTCATAATGACGCAAAATTTTATTGAGTAGGTGTGCAGTACTTTAAGTAGTGTTTCCTCACACCGCGCTAGAAGTGAGAGACTTTTGTTCGTAGCATTAGGCGCAGTACTCGTCCTTTGGTTGAATGGTCTACGATATAAACGCTTATGTATCTTATTATGCCTAAATTTTTCTAATCCAGGCTGACCCAATTGTTTTTAAAATTATTAAAAAATTCTGCCGAATAAGTTTTCGCTCTTTCTCGATCTTTTTTTGAATTTCTCATAAGTTGTTAGTTGTATACTACTACTATACTTTCACTGTTACATAAATTACCCAAGTCTGAAACACTGTAATTTATCAAATAAACTATCAGAAATCAGGAAAAAAATATTTATGTTAATTTTAGTGAAGATGGTCCGTTATTTTTCACTTGTCTATTGCTTCAAAATTTTCCAGCATCAAGTTTATGACGTAATTTTTTTAGTATAACTGTCTACAAATATTTAAGTGTTAATTATTTTATTTCTTTTTACTAAAAATAATTTAATTAAAAGAAAACAATTAATGTTTACACAATTTTTATGGCACTTTTTTATGTGCAGCTTAATTGGATGTTATACTCACAGACTATAAAGTAGATTCTACACGAATGTTATACTACAATTGAACTTACAACAAGAATTATACATGACAGAAGAAATTTCTCCAAAAACTTGAACTATTCTATGACAAAAACAAAAATTTTCAATTCTCTTTAGAAGTCTGCAGACCTATGGATATTTTGAAATAGCATAGACTTAGAATATACTGGCGTATAGACGACCTGATAGCCCGAAAATGCGTGACTAATTTTGATTTGTCATTGTTTGCGTTAGTTAGTGATGTACATTTTACTTACTAGGACAAGCTAGGACTATCAAAAAATGATTGTTAAGGAAGCGGTAAAAAGATTTAAAAAATTGTTTAGTGCACGCAATTGAATAACTTAAAATATTAACTTCATTTTTACCATGATAATCTTAAAAAAATTCCCCAAGAATCAAATCTGAAAGTAGTATTTTCGAGCTATGATCTTTGGAGAAAAATATTTATTGTCATGGACAGTTTCCCCGGAATTTCTTTTTTTAACATATTGTTAATATAAATAAGTAGATACCTAATTAAGTATATACCTATTTATATTTTATATATTTTTTAAAATGTTTTGATGGGGAAATGAAAAACGGGGACACGGAGTACATAATGACTGCTTTATTTTGCATAAAAGAAGCACACATTATCAGTGGCGTAGCGTGTCTTAGATGGGCCCTGTATCAAAATTTGTTGGGGGGCCCCAATGAAGAGTAAAGATTTCATAAAAGGAACAAAAACGCTTGCATTGAATTCAAATTATTATATATTGATTTTAAGTTATTCATCATCATCATTACAGTCCTTCACAAGTTCACTGCTGAACATAGGCCTCCCCCAAGGAATGCCACAAAGCACGGTCCTGAGCCACCTGCATCCATCGACTTCCTGCATATCTTACCAGGTCGTCACTCCATATAGTGGGACGCCCTACACTTCGTCCGCCGGTACGAGGCCACCACTCGAGAACCTTTCTTCCCCATCTGTTGTCGGTTCTTCGAGCTATATGGCCGGCCCATTGCCACTTCAGCTTACTAATCCGTTGGGCTATCGATCACTCTGGTTCTACTGCAGATATCCTCATTTCTAAGTTTATCACGCACGAAACTCCGAGCCCTCTCCATAGCTCGCTGAGCGACTTCCTCATCCGGCCAGCAGTGAAGGACCAAGTCACAGTACCATAGGTCATCACTGGCAACACGCACTGGTTGTACAGTCTCGTTTTCAAGTCTTGAGGTATACCTGACGAGAAGATGTGCCGTAATTTCCCGAACGCTGCCCAGCCGAGTTGAATCCGTCGATTGACCTCTCAGTCGAAGTTGGACTTACCTAGTCGGACTATTTGACCCAGGTAAACATACAACAACTTCAAGCTTAGTGCTCCCAACAAATATCGACATAGAGGTGACATGGACATTAAACATGATCATTGTTTTGTCCATGTTCATCTTAAGGCCTATCCGTTGGGAAACACTATTGAGGTCATTAAGCATAGTGCTTAGATCCTCCAGCGATTCTGCCATAAGGACTATATCGTCGGGAAATCAAAGGTGAGTGATGTACTCGCCATTGATGTTAATACCGTATACTTTCCAGTCCAGAAGCTTGAAAACGTCTTCCAATGCAGCGGTGAAGAGTTTCAGGGATATAAAGTCACCCTGTCTTACACCTCTCTGCAATTGGATAGGTTTCGTACTCTGGTTCAGTACTCGGATAGCCATCGTAGCCCTACTGTACAAGCACTTCAGCACTTCGATATACCGACAGTCAACTTGGCATCGCTGAAGGGACTGCAGCACCGCCCAAATTTTGACGGAATCAAAGGCTTTCTCATAGTCCATATACGCTAGACATAGTGGCAAATTGTACTCTTCGGACTTCTGTACAATTTGCCGAAGGGTATGTATGTGGTCTATGGTGCTAAAGCCCTTTCGGAAACCGGCTTGTTCGGGAGGCTGGAAGTCGTCAAGTCTGCGCGCAAGGCGATTCGTAATGACTTTTGAAAACAGCGCGTAGACGCGGCTCAGAAAGGAAATCGGTCTGTAGTTCTTCAAGAGAGCGTTGTCAGCTTTCTTGGAGAACAAGACCACCGCACTTCTGCTCCACGCCTCTGGTGTAATGCCACCATGGAGGATTTCAAGTACCTGTTTTCCACCCGCTTTCAGAAGCTCCGCTGTAATTCCATCCTCGCCTGGGGCCTTGCTGTTTTTAAGGTGCTGGAGAGCCATTCTAATCTCGCTCAGACTTACGTCTGGTATATCATCGGAATAGTGTCGGATAAAACTCGCTCTTGGATCGTTACTCGTACTTACGTGTGGCTCCAAGGATGATATGTGCAGCTACCCATAGAACCTCTCCATCTCACTCAAAATCTCAGGTGTCCCAGAATCGACGCTGCCACACTCGGTCTTCAGCGTCGACAGTTGGCTCTTTATGACAGACAAATCTCTAGCAAAGACTTCGATCGATTCTTCAGTCTTCTAGGTACTGAAAACGGTTTTGTAACTCGAGCTGAAAGGTTTCGGGACTTTGGAACAGAGCACGAGGGGGACGTAGCGTTGACTTCATTAGACGAGACCTCTCCAACAAGTATTAGGTTCAGTGTGCCTCTCACCATTTGGTGATCGCTACCGGTTTTCGCCCTCGCGATTACTGAGACATCACTGAACAGTTGTCGTCTGGTCGTCATAATGAAGTCAATCTCATTTTTTGTCGAACCGTCGGGGCTCGACCAGGTCCACTTCCTGTGGGGCTGCTTCTGGACGAAAGAGTTCATCATAAAGAGTCCCTCTTCCACCATAAAGTCGGCCAGCTGCTGGCCTCTTGGGTTCCGTTGCCCTATTCCGGAAATTCCCTACTTTCAGCTCACCGTTCTCTCTTGTGCCTAGTTTTGCGTTGAAGTCTCCCATTAACACTGTATAGTAGGTTTTGGAGGAATGCATGGCTCTAGAGATATCCTCATACATGTCTCCACCTCCTCATCGGGATGTGCCGAGGTTGGTGCGTAAACCTGTATGACCTTCAGCGAATACCGTTTGGTGATTCTGAGTATAAGGTACGCAACCCTCGTCGACACACTCCCAATCTTTACAACGTTGTTAACAAGAGACTTGTGGACAATAAATCCGACACCTCCTTGGGACAGATGGTCGCCCTCCTGGTGATAGAACAAATTGCCGGATTTGAGGATTACCGTGTCCTCCCCCTCTCTTCGGACTTCGGATAATCCTATGACATTCCAGCGCCACTTGTCTATCTTTTCTTCCTGCTCCACGATCTTCTCGTCAGTCCTCAGGGTGCGTGCGTTATAAGTTGCCAGGTCGAGTCGTCGTAGGTGGCAACAGAACCTCCACCGGAGATTCTTAGCACCTCCTGCCCCGCCGTTACCATGGTCGCCACCGTAGCCAGGAATAGCGGGGCCGCCGGGAACTGGGGGCATCTCTTCGTTACTTTCATGGGGGGTATATTGCCATAGTTGCCACGCTTGGCGAGCAGGTTGGCAACCGCAGTTTTTTTTATTGTTGTTTTGCTGTTATCAGAAAGATGCTGCTGCCCATCCTCTGCCTCAGTTTCCCTTTGTCGCCTTTTACGACACCCACGGAAAGATATAGGGTAGTGAGTGTTCTCCACTGCCACCCGTGCCACTACACGGGTTTTTGAGTTATTACTTACAATGAATACTCCTAGGAACTAAGCTAGCCAAACAATTCATATCAAATATACACTTTTCGTGCCTTTTGTTCGGCGAACACAGCTGAAAAAGATTCGGCTGCATTCATAGCTGAAGACGATTTCAGTTTTACTTAATTCTTTACTTATATAGACAATAGTGATAGCCTTTCCTGTCCCATTGAAGTTCTTGGTATTTATGCTCACACACGTTTGGGGCCCCTGTAGCCCGGGGGCCCCGTATCATTGATACGGCTGATACGGCGGTAGCTACGCCCCTGCACATTATAGAAGTTTATTTTAACATTTGACTTAAATATGAATTTAAACTTAATAATTTAAGTAAGGAAACTATCACAATCAGTTAAATAAGATTGCTCTGTTTAAAGGCCAATATGTTTATGAGGCTTTATCATGCATCTTCATCTGTCCCTGAAAAGTTTAAAGTATGTAGGAATAAACCTATTATCATTTTAGCTCCATGAATTTTAAAAACATAATGATCTTATTAGAGTAAAGGGCACCAAGTGTCTAAGGATACAGATGCACTCTCTATTCTCTCAATCTCGGTATGTTAAGAAAATGTTCACTCATTCATGGACTGACCGCGGCAAGTGCAACTTAATCTCGCAGATCTATTGATCCGCGCAGCTATTACTTAACCACGAGTTTCTCTTCTCTACGTCTAATGTTGTAGACAATGAACCACGCTATTTAAGCCCTCGGCACAATGTCGTCGGCCATCAAACATGAATCGGGCCTATGCCCGTTGTGAGTATCAAATACTATAGAATTTATTCTATCGCGTCTCACGTGCGGGCGGGCGTCTAGTGGCGCTTCAGGAGCATTACTAAATATCTATACGTAACTACACTAAGAGTTTTATCATTGTGACTTGGGATTATAATACGAAGCTCCGCTTAACCCCTTGGGGAAGATGGCGTGACGCTATGAATATTGTACTAGTGTGACCGCGAGCCTGTGCGATTGGTTAAGTAAGGTTATACATTTATTTTGGTTGGTAAATAGATACTTAGGTTCTTAAAGAGGATTATCTCAATATTTTTTTATCTTTAATGTACTACAGTTTTATAATGTATAAAAATCTGTCTCTATTTTTATCTAAAGATTTGAAACTAAAATTTTAGTCTCATTATAACAGTACTATTAATTTTTTTATAGGAGAGGGGGCAAACGAGAATGCGGCTCACCTGATGGTAAGTGATTACGGCCGCCCATGAACAAACACCACAACACCAGGGGAATTGCAAATGCGTTGCCGGCCTTTTAAAAAGGAGTAGGCTCTTTTCTTGAAGGTCCCTAAGTCGTATCGGTCCGATAAAATCGCTGGTGGTAATCGATTCCACAAGGAAGTGGGGCGAGGGAGAAAACTTCTTCTAAATCGCACAGTGGTGGACCGTCAATCATCCAGATGATATGGATGGTATCGCGAGTTTTGTCGCGATGTGCGACGGTGAAATCGAGCGGCTGGAATTAGTCCGAACAATTCCTCAGAGCACTCCCCGTGGTAAATGCGATAAAATACGCAAAGAGATGCAACATCTCTATGCAGTGCCAGTGTATCGAGCCGATCAGAAAGAACTTGGTCGTTGACGATTCGAACCGCTCTGCGCTGGATGCCGTCAAGTGGAAGGAGCTGGCACTGGGGTGCTCCGGTCCAGAGATGAGAACAGTATTCCATGTGAGGCCGAATTTGCGCTTTGTAAAGTTGCAAGCGATGTGCCGGCATGAAATACTGTCTCGCTTATATAAAAATATCAAAATTAACAAAATAATTGAAAACATTCTATACACAGTATATAACATAAATTTTAACCAAAAATAAACGCGTCATAACATTGATGATGTCTTGAGAATGTACCTGTGAATTGTGCAATTATTAGGATTATTTCTATTATTAACACTACAGTCACTTACAGAACAAGTAACCATTTTGGAAAAAATTTATTTAGCAAGTAAACCAATAATACACTAAATAATTACAAAATATCTAGGAGCTATTTTTTGCTTGCCGATATGTGCCGACCTGTCCTTCAAAATCGGTTACAGAGTCATGAGATTTGGTATCCTTTTCTATCTTGCATCTTTGCCATAAGGAATTTTCTTCTCCCTTGCACACTATGTCGGTCTATACGCCAGTATATTCTAAGCACAGAACACATATTTCTAAGTCTATGTGAAATAGCATGTATGGAATTTTACGGAATTTTTTTGTACGGATTTGGAAAAATTCGAGTTGGCACCACTGATTTAACCGTAAACTTGCTGAAAGACTTGCTTGTTCACTTGAGCAGCTTGAGTTTCTTGGTTATAAAAAGATTGATACTCTGTGACTTTAGTTTGAGCTTTTGACTTGGCTTGTGTAAAAAATATCAATATATCGAAATATCGATTATTTCTCATGAATATATCGTCGACACGATATAACTATATTTATTTTAGAGTATCGAATTCGTAACAATTTTGATCACAGAACACTAATACCCTTAGGATTTTGATATTAATATTAGTCATGATAATGTTGTATTAATCAACAAAACATTAAGCAGTTTTTTTTTCGTCGTCCTAGTGTTAAAATTTTGGGCTTTATCCTAATACATCATGCAAAACATGATCTCACACATCAAATGAGGTTTATCTCGTAAGTACTTCAGAAGGTAAAGTAAGGTACTCCCTCATCCTCAAACAAAGTAGATGAGTAACCCATGACTAGATTATATTTTCTTTAGGCGGGCATTATGTTACGTCTTATTTCAGTATTGCAAGTTTATAAAACTGTTAAAATAAAGTTTTCTCTTTTTACACTTGCAGAATTACATACATTAGGAAGAAACTTATTTCTTTAACTATGATATTCCTATAATGAATATTTTATATAGATCATTAGGGCACGTCCTCTCTTATTCTTTGGTCATTGTTCAAAAGATGGTAAAAGCCAATGACCAAAGTTTTATTTAATTCATTTTTAAAAGTAAAATTTTTACGTGGTAGAGCCATGCTGCAGCTATATTAGTAGTATAGTTGTAGCAAGAATGGAATCGGCTCGACCGGGGAAGGACCACGCTCTCACAGAAAACCAGCGTAAAATAGCAGCTTAACGCTGTTGTGTTTCGTATGGTGAGTGTAGAGAACCGGAGACCCGTTTTACTGGCAAAGAGGCATTCCAACTTAGTCCTCACGGGTGACAACGCATCTGCATCTTGAGTCTTTATTGAGGATAGATGTAGATGTCTATGGGTCACAGTAACCACTTACCATCAGGTGGACTGAGTGCTCGTTTGTCACCCTATCCTATAAAAAAAGTAGGGATGGGCAAGTGAACAAAATATGGGTATCGATATTTTTACATGTTATGTATGTTATCAAAATCCACTTCAAATCATTATTTAAACAATAATACAAGAGCAGCAATCCTGTACCGTTTAAGTTTCCGCCAAAACTCCTGTGATATCTTTATACTTAGACACATAGACTTTGGGCGTGTATCACAGTCTAATATGATGCTTACGCATGCGTGTACTATTGATTCATCTATTCCATAACTATTCATTCTCTATGAATTATTCATTCGCCAATTCACCCAGTTTTCGTGATTTTGTCATTCATTTTTCATTCATTTAACAGATGGTTCGTGGTGAGAGTGAAATATTTTTGAAGCAAAGTATTCCCATAATTTATTGAGTTAACTGGGAAGTTCAAGCTTTTCTTTTTACTGTCTTGTTACCGGTTTAAATTATATTTATATAAAATGTCAGAGCCGCGGAAAAATCATCTCACTATAGATGGCGGCCAAGGACGGGAAGACGAACATGTCGTTGCTTCTTACAAGCCTATTCCAGAATCTGATACAGGTAATTAATATGAAGCACCATATTTAGTATAATCCACGATATTCACAATGAAGAGTTAAAAACTCTCTGAAATACTTTATAATTTCCATACATGTATTTTTTGTAATTCTGTTAATTCTTTGTACATCCTTTTTGTTCTTGTTAGATTTTACCTATTTATTATGTATGATTACTACTATTACGATTTATTGTGTGTTTATACATAAACGTATCAACGTTCTATCAAATGCAACTTTATCAATGTGACCCTTGACATTATCATGTAAAGTCAGCGTCGGTTGTGCTCTGTCAAATATTATACAACTTTATGAAATGGTTTCGACTATGTACTGTATTTAAGTGTTCATTTTTTATTTGCCAATAAAATTCTCAACCTCAACTACACTTACTTTTAATATTACTTTTGAAATGTGTAATAAGTGCTTTCAAAATCAGGTAATCCAATTTAGGTGTCGATTTAACTATATATTTTGCTGGTTTAGAGAGAGTTACTTCTGAAACTTCTTAACTCGGATGGATAATAAAGCGCTTTTATTGGACGAATATAGCTTTAGACAGCGCCATTTTGTCGCTCGATCGCTGACTGATGCAATCTGTGAATTAATTTTCAACGTTTTTGTTTTCTTTTAAAAGTTAAAAATATTTAGATTACATTTTGTTGTGTTTATTACATATTTCTATCGCAATGTTAATTTAAGCGTGATTTGCTACCGGCAAAAATTTGCGACTAAATCAATTTTTAAATATATTAATTATTATAATTATAACTACATAGCGTTTACATTTATTCCAAACTACTATCTTCGAAATGGCCAAAACCAGCAAAAAGTTTCAGTAATCTGTGCATTACTTAACACAAATTGATTCAATTGATATTTGAGTGAGTAATATAAGATTGTCACCGGAAACAACTTATCAAAGAAGGGTGACAGAAGATTTTATTTTCAGCACATGAAATTGAATATATTGAGACTGATGCCGAATTCATGCAGTTGAATCAAACCGAAACAATGGATGGGGAAGCAGCCGATGATGCTGATGATCATTGGGATAATAGTAGTATTAAAATTATGTTGAATTTATATCTACAAAACATTGAGAAATTCAGAAATCCAAAAATAAGGAAGAAGAATTTATGGGTTGATATTTCCACTGCCGTTGGAAAAGGCCCAGACTGTTGTAACAAAAAATTTAGAAATTTAAAACAGACATATATAAGATTACTGAAAAAGAAAATTAGAGACTGCACAGCCACTGTTAAATGGCCATACTTTAACATTTTTGAGGAGATTTATGTTGTTGATGGTGAGTATCAGCCTGAAATACAGCAAAAAGTACAAGAAGGTTCTAATGAAAGTATAGCGAAAGCTTTGCTTTCAATAAGTACACCTTCAAAGTTTGAAGATGGTCATGAAAATGGGGAAACATCAGGAGGACAGAGTGAAGAAGTAAGAAAAAGGTTAACTAGAAAACGAAATGCTGAACTTAGAAAAGCAACATTAGAGATTCGAGATAGACAGAGAGTTGTAGAAGAGAAATTAGATAGATTAATTAACATTGTTGAAGAATCCAATAGTATTCAAAGAGAACGTAATAAACTCTTTCAAGAGTTTCTGGAGAAGTTAAATCAACCAAGAGATGAATGTTGATGTTACACTGTAAATAGTTAGTAATACATTTTAACTCTGGGACCTGTGTGATTTGTGGTCTATTGTGTCAAAGAGATTTGTTTGAAATCATGTTACTGTTATGTGTGATAATTAGTTTTTTAATAAACTTTTTATATGAATAAACATTTTATATTTTAATTCGGATTTTCCACTAAGACGCCTTATTTTTCTTATTTAATAATTTAAACTTTCATTATGAACATACAGTACTTATATTTAAATAGCATTGGAAGTACATACTACACAATTATTATACCAATTAGGTATCTATGGATTTTATAATTAGATTGTATAAATTATTTATAACGTGGATAATCTAAGGCCAGGTCAAGAGTACCCTAAACCGTAGAGCATGTATGAAGGGAATAATGAAAGTGGACGAAGCAAAACAAGTATGTAAGGATCGTAGCAAGTGGAAAGAAGAAGTCTGCCTACCCCTACGGGAAAGAGGTGTGATTATATGTATGTATGTATGTATGTAATATATTTGTATAATGAAAGTTTATAACTATCTGCAGCGCAGACTTGATTGTAATAAATAACATAATTAATTAATATGTTATTTATTACAATCAAGCAACAAAGCCTAATAGTTTATGGGTAGGTTTTCTTTTTTATAATAGAATCCCGTCTTGCCCGCAAAATTTCTAACGAAAACTTCTGGTTCAGGATTCTGAATGCAGCAAGTCCATATAAAATCAAGGACCTGTCACAAGCATACATTAGATTTCCATAAGGAATTTTCTCCAAATCAAAATCCCGCATGATTGTCTGTTGTCCGGAATCCCGTATGGAAATAAGGCGACCCGAACGCAAGTCTTCCATAGATATTGTATGACTCGCAACACATTCGTAAATTCCGTACGGAATGCGCCCAGTGTGCGTCGCACGACCGAAGCAAGTAGGTGTGTTTATGTATGTTTTTACAAGTAATCAATCTCATAAGTGTATCTGTTTTCGTAACCTTTTATTTTGTTTAATAATTAGTTGAAAGAGTTTATAGACATTCATATAAGTATAAAAAAATCATTGGGCAGATAGATCTTTTTACATAATATTGACTATATTGCAATCTTAGGGTGTTAAGGGGATGCACCTAGTAACAATGACACAGCAACAATGGAATTGCAATCAGAAAATCATTGTCATTATTTGCTGGCAGAATGTCTAGACTCAATGACTAGCATCTCTCAACTCAGCCTTGTTAATCCCGAAATCCCGAATCGGAATTCTGTAAGTAATGTTAGCAGAGCATAATAAATAACCTTTTAATATAAAAAATGAAAATGTACGAGTGTTTGAAATCGTTTACTTCAACCTTTTTCAAGTCCACTGTAGACCATAGGCCTTATCAAGGATATGCCAGTAGGTGTGCATGGATATGATTGTGGTGTTGCAGAGTTCTTCTGGGTCTCTAGGTGTTAGTTCATGTTTATCTTTATTTATTTATTTATTATCACAGTCGGAAAAACCCCATATTGAATGTGTATCTTTTACCAAACATAACAAAATTCAAGACAAATAATTTTTTAATATTATCATTGAAGAAATATTTAATACATCATTTTATTATAATATTTGTATCAACCTGTGAAAGTCCATTGTTTAGACGGCTTACCATTTCATAATCACATCATGTTTGCTAGACGGATTGGCGGACGGATTTTTGACACTTGATTATTTATCTCCTAGACATTTTAGGTCATAAGCCTTGTGATTTTTGCAGCTACCTGGCGACAGCAACATATACTTAAGACACTGTCGAATCGTCAAACGGAATTGTTTTTTTAAAGTGCATACTAAACCATAATGAAAATTATTTTCATATCCATGAGTAGGTATTTACTAACTGGTAATGTGTGGCGAGTGACTGGGACGTTAACGATTCAATTGGTGGGTGCCTAGGGCTGCATTTAAGAGATTAAATTAAAAAAAAAACTTTATTTGAGATCACAAACATAAGATCTTGCGCCGCGGATAGCCGATAGGTGGTATGTACGCATTTCATATACGTATTTAAAGTAATTAAACCGGCGTCACAGACAGTGTTTAAGCAAAGGGATAGCGTCAACTGTACTAGGCGTCTTGGGTTCAACCGCCAATCCAATTATGACAGTTTTTATTATTTATCCGTTACATTTTTGTTAGATCCTTTATTTCCTGATAAAAAGCAAAAAGTTTAGTTCAGTTCAATCAAAGTAACTCGTTTGTCCACCGAGTGTCGCACGCTGCTGGTAGTCAAATATGCATGCAGCGGAGAAGGTGGCGCTAAAATCCTTTTAATGTCGAAAATCCTCGCCATATTCGATGAAGTGTTATGAAGTGTAAATGTTCTTGTTGTGAGTGTCACAACAAGAACATTTACAAGTGGTAAAATTAAAATTATTGTACAACCGACTTCAATATAAATAATTTATTGTTGTGATTTTATTTTAAAAACCGCTCAACCGATTTCTATAACATTTAAATGGGACCACCTGGGAAGTATGCCCTTTAAAACAAAAAAAAAAGAATTTTGGTTCGGGCGTCTTCGAGTAATCGGTGAACATACATACAAAAAAAATTTCGACGAATTGAGAACCTCCTCCTTTTTGAAGTAGGTTGAAAATAAAAATGTACACATCGTATGAAAAAGTTGTTATTTCGATGTTTACGCACAGACATTTCAATTCTATTTATATGTATTGAGACCTTGGCGCAACCCTAGTTGAATCTAAATTTAATCGAGCATATGTCGAGAGGCTCCTAGCCGTAACGGTTTATTTTGTACCAACTCCTGTGTAGAAGGGACTTATGCATTCCGCTAATTCCGGCCGGTTGGGTGCTATTGTTGCACACGCTAGGAGAAAAATTGTCAGACTGAGAAATGGACCAGGAAAAGCACATTCCAAGACTCCAGCCGATAGTTCTCAATGCGGTGAAGGTTTCGTGTTGTTTGTTTTTTTAATTATATTGTAAACTTTTTTCATATTCTGTTCTTAGATCGTCATTAACAATTATTTGTAGTCTATACAGATAGTTGTTCCGTGTGGGCTTCGGCCCCGACCGCTACAATTCTATGCTAACTCACTGCGCTACGGAGCCGTCAATTGTGGCTTAAGAACTCCCATCACCGTATCGCCCGTATGTGTCGATGTTGAACATGTGGTGGTATCAGATAAATTGTAGAACCATCTCGAGAAAAGTTATTCTTAAAACTAGCTGTTCCCCGCGACTTCGCTTGCGTGGAATTTGTTACGATTGGATTTTATGGGTTTTAATTATTTTTACGCAGAACCCTAATTCTTTTATTAAAATAAAAATAGCCTTAGTTACTCCTTATAACATCAGCTATCAGTGAAAATCCCGTCAAAATCGGTCCAGCCGTTTCGGAGATTAGCCAGAACAAACAGACAGACAGACAAAAATTAAAAAAATGTTTTTTTGTTATAAGTACCGCAAATACTTTAATGTGCATTTAGTAAAAAGTTGTTATTTTGACATTACAAACAGACACTTCAATTTTATTATTTGTACAGATATACCCCGGTCGCCGCATATTTTTTACTTGTAATTTTTCTTTGTCGGAAAGAATATGTTGTGAATGTTTTTTACGAATTTAATGGCAGAATCAGCGAAACTACAAATTGAATAAGACAATTTTTACGAATTTTATCGCGATTAATTTTTTTTTTTAATTTTTTCGTTGAAATTAAACGCGATAAAAAATCAGCCCTTAAATATTTTGGTGCTGGTGCTGGGTCTGACACATGTTGGCCAATCCACCAGTTAAATGTGGATCGCACATTTTAATAACGTGAGAAATACCTATGTTAAATTGTGAACTATTTAGGGACGGAATATTATTTTCAGCCGACTCCAAAAAAGGAGGAGGTTCACAATTCGACGTATAATTTTTTTATGCATGTTCCAGTGATAATTCTATCACCACGTTGTCGAATTTTAATGATTCATTTTGTTTTTGAAAGGGGTGCCTCAGGGATGGTCCTATATAAGTTTAGTTAATATTGATGATCGGATCCATGACAAAATCATCAAACTCTTTAATGTACAAAGCCATCACATATTATGTGCGAATAATTTTTTACCACCGATTTCGATACTAATATTCCTTTTAGTTATTTGAAATCTGTTTATACTTTTTTAAAGTGAAATAGTATAAGGATAAAATAGTATAAGGATTTAAAATTATGTTATGTTTTTTTTACGTTACATTCCATTTATTCATGGCACGGGCAGTACAGGTAACCGTAGAATAATGTTTGTCTAAAATTTACTTGTATTTTTTTTTATATGAGCCGAATAAACCGAGCTAAATCTAGGTTTATTTCTTTTTTGACATTACAATATTACGGCGAATAAGTAAGCTTAACATGGAAAAAGAAAACATTCGCATACGCTCATAAATAGATTCTTAATTATTAATTATGCCTTTAATAATTTTATTAAAGTTATAAAAATTACCTTGCGTACATGCGCTCGATAAAATATTTTTACCAACTTTAATATAATGGATTTCAGCAAAGTAACGTGTGATTCTATTAATTGTTTAACCATTTTGACCATCGTTGTTATGTGGCCTATTTAAAATAGTTTTTAGAGTTAAAATTAGCTAATTATCGTGTCTATTGAGAATTAGTTTCTCCAAACAAATATATCAAAGTAACCTAACCTAACTATAAAATAGTTTTTAGAGTTAAAATTAGCTAATTATCGTGTCTATTGAGAATTAGTTTCTCCAAACAAATATATCAAAGTAACCTAACCTAACTATAAAATAGTTTTTAGAGTTAAATTTAGCTAATTATCGTGTCTATTGAGAATTAGTTTCTCCAAACAAATATATCAAAGTAACCTAACCTAACTATAAAATAGTTTTTAGAGTTAAAATTAGCTAATTATCGTGTCTATTGAGAATTAGTTTCTCCAAACAAATATATCAAAGTAACCTAACCTAACTATAAAATAGTTTTTAGAGTTAAATTTAGCTAATTATCGTGTCTATTGAGAATTAGTTTCTCCAAACAAATATATCAAACTAACCTAACCTAACTATAAAATAGTTTTTAGAGTTAAATTTAGCTAATTATCGTGTCTATTGAGAATTAGTTTTTCCAAACAAATATATCAAACTAACCTAACCTAACTATAAAATAGTTTTTAGAGTTAAATTTAGCTAATTATCGTGTCTATTGAGAATTAGTTTCTCCAAACAAATATATCAAACTAACCTAACCTAACTATAAAATAATTTTTAGAGTTAAATTTAGCTAAATATCGTGTCTATTGAGAATTAGTTTTTCCAAACAAATATATCAAACTAACCTAACCTAACTATAAAATAGTTTTTAAGAGTTAAATTTAGCTAATTATCGTGTCTATTGAGAATTAGTTTATCCAAACAAATAATTATATCATCGTAACGTCATCATTACTTCGTCCAAACTTATTACATATTAGCTGTTTCCCGCGATAATTTAGTTTTAATTTTTTTACGCGGAAACCTAATTCTTTTTCTAAAATAAAAGCAAGCCTAAGTTACTCCGTATAACATAAGTGCCAATATAACTGCCAGTGAAAGTCTCGTCAAAATCGGTCGAGCCGTTTCGGAGATTAACAGCAACAAACATAGAGACAGACAGACACGAAAATTTTAAAAATTGATTTTTTGTTATTAGTAACGTTTATACTTTCGTGTGTGCATTTAGTAAAAGCTCTTTGACATTACAAACAGACGCTTCAATTTTATTTATTTGTATAGACAAAAATAAACTACCTGTACTATAAAACTTGATAATTCGTTCACTGATAATGAACGAAATTTTTTGTTTAATCGTTTTGCTAATGATTAAAATTGTCGAACATTGTAAAATTTTCTTCCACATCAACATTAATTTGTAGTTGTACCGAAGTATCTACAGCAGTTACTGTAGTATGTAGTTACTGCGACCTCGTTTTAAGTAACAAATTACAACGTAGTGTCCAGTTCAATTGCTTGGTTTGGTTGTTGTTAATGTAGGTATATCGGCTTTATTGTGTACTTGAAGTGTAATAAAGTACATACAGACACTTTTACTTGCACTTTTGTGCCTATAACAATATGAACGATTTTCGTTTATTCACCACAGTGTTCTTACGAAAATATTTGGTATGCAATTACAGCATTTCATTATCTGATAACCAGAAATCTGTCACAAAAACTTGCAGTTCAGAAAATGTTAATTTTAAGAAACGTCGTCAGTAGGTACTAAATTATGTGTATTTTTTGCCGAGTGCAGAAAAGAACTTAATATAATAATCGTACTTCAGGAACTGAAAATTTATATTTTGTTGTTATATGCCAGGAACTGGAAACTTAATTGCTTGGTAATATTACGCTGCAAATTAAAAAAATATATTTACTTGCAGAGTTGCAGGAAAAATATATAGATATACTCGTATGTCAGGAACTGTACATTTAAAATTGTTTGTTTTTATTTTTCTGCAAGTTATAAAAAATCTAACGATGTCGTTTTTCTAAAAACAATTAAAAATTAAAAATTTTGTACAACTTCAAATAAAAAAAGAATCATAAAATAGGTTCACCTAAAAAAAAAGGTATGAGGTAACACACATTCTTTTTTATAGGATAAGGGTGACAAACGAGCACACGGTCCACCTGATGGTAAGTGGTTGCTGCGGACATCTACACCTATTCTCGATTACGAATCAAAATCCAGATTGCGTTGTCATCCGCGAGGAATAAGATGCAATGCCTCGTTTCCAGTAAAAAGGTTATCCGGTTCTCTACACTCAACATACAAAACAGCACCGTTAAGCTGTTATTTTACGCTGGTATTCTGTGAGAGCGTAATCTTTCCCCGGTCGAGCCGAACCATTCGTGCTACAACTATACTATTAATATAGCTGCAGCATGGCTCTACCACATAAAAAACATACAGTCGAATTGAGTACCTCCTCCTTTTTGAAGTCGGTAGAAAATAAAAATAAATCAAATAAAAAACTGTACACTCGGTATTTCTTGCATTGTCTGTAGATTCCTGCTGTTGCGAGCCAAATTGTTTTTTCGGGGAGGTACTGCAATGCAACTTCCCCGCAGCGCGCAATGTCCAACTCGTTTTAAGTACGCCGTACCACTTCAAAAAATTAATTTTGGGACATAATTTGGATACTTATTTATTGGTTATCTTGTTTTATTTAATACAAAGCCGCGGGGAAAAATAGTTTAAAATGTATTTGCAATACGTATTTATTATTATTTATCTGTTAACGTTATTATTTAAATAAATAATATAAAAGTAAGAAATATAATAATCACACTGATATAACTGAGGTAACTGGGTAACATACTAGTCGTTTAACATAAATGCCAAACCTACGAAGAAGTATGAGTACGAGTGTATGGCTGCCCACCACTAGATGCGAGTGACGATATGGGAAAAACAAGCAGAAAATCGATAGATGCAGGTGGCTAAGAAACGTTACAATGGGGGGG